GACAATTGGATTTGGCCTCTGGTGAACCCTCTGTTTTTGATCTTGTGCCTAAAATCCACCTTCCACACTGTTGGCAGAATAACCTCTCAGAGTTTTCACACGTCTCTTCCACTGCTGGACCGAGCTTTAGAGGAAGACGGGATCTCTAGTCCTTGTAACCCCAATGCCTGTTAAATACTTTGCAGCTTAATAGGGGTGAGGTCTTGCAGGGTCTCCAGCCCTCCAGGCACCTTAGATCTGCGCTGTCCCATACAATAGTTACTAGCCACACGTAGCTATTTAAATGTGAACCAAATAAAATGACTCAGACTAGCCACATTTCAAATGCTCAGCAGCCATGTGACTATTGGCTACCATATTGGACAACATACTTAAGAATATTTCCATATTCACAGAAAGTTCTATTGCACAGAGCTGTCCCAAACCCTTACTGATAAGTCATCTTCCTCTACTAATACCTCTGGAACATTCAAACACCCTCCAAGTGCTAACGTGAGCAAGCTGGCCTTCAGCATTTATGTCTATCTTGATGTTGCCATTAGCCACTTTTCTACATCTGCCCTTCAGATAGGGCCTCTAGCAGCTTGTGGCCAATCAGGAAAGCCCACATTAGGTATTTCAACAGTGATGTGGTAGAGACATGAGAGGGTAACTCAGACAGCCTAACTGCAAGATGCAGCTACTATTCCTAGGGTAGAGAAACAAACGGGGAATGACGGGGTTACCAGAAACTTGGTGCTCCAAAAAAAAAGGGTCCCTGTTGTGCGGTTGCTCTGAGTCTGAGAAGCTTCGCCACCTAACTGCTCCTGCTGCTTCTAAGCAAAGCAATGAAGATAGTTCTAGAAGTTCTTAAAGTAGCCGAAAACGAGTCAACTGACACTATTAGGTCAACACTGTTAGGACTGTCAATCAAAGACAAAGAAGTAAATCTTGTTTTCCTTCTCCTGCCTTCCAAATTTCCTCTAGTAGAACTTACTGGCTGCACCTAAATGGAATGCAGCAAAGGGGTCAGGAAAATGCAGTTTGCAGAGTCCCAGTATCACAGAGCAGAGGACAGAAGGGTAGGATTGGAGCTGAGGGACAATAGACAAGCAACACACTCGTTCCTTGCAAAGATTCCATTTTTTTAATCCAAAAATGCCCATCCCTAAAACAGTAAATATTCAGGAATGTATTGCTAGACTATCTCTGGGACCTCAAGAGTAAATGTACTAGTTCTGATTGAAATCTTGTTTCTATTTTCTATCAAAGGAGACCTTTTAATGATGCTATTTAATGCTTTTTTTTCAATCGGTGGAGGGATGTCTATACAATAGGAATTCATGCCCATCCATTCATCACATTTTTTGCATGCATGGTACATGCCACGCAATCTGCCAGGTAGTACATATAGAAAACAAACTTATGTAATAAGACAAGTAATGATCCACCCAATTCATCTATCTACCCAGAGATAGACACAAGATTTTTGTGTTGCTGCTTATGAGCATCTTTCTATGCATGTGCACATGTCCCCACACACACATACATACCACTATATTTAATATAATGTAGACATTTTAAGAAAGTGTGTAAATATAGATCTACCTGTGTTTACTGCTGAATACTATTTGATTATAAGGAAAATGTACTGTAACTTTATTCATGAATATACAATGTAGGCTGCTACTTAATGTCTATGATATATTTTATACCTTTGTCTTCCTGCTAAATTTCTAGATGTGTAATTTCTGAGTTACTGCATATGCAGATTTAAATTTTTGAGCTAAATTTTCAAACTATTCTTCAAAATTATTCCAGTTTACACGGCCACCACTAGAGCATGAGAGTGTATTTCTTCACAGGTTCAACATAGATTATCAGTCTTTAATGTTTTTCAGTGACAGCCAAAAGTTAATTATTTTTAATTTTTAATGAGAGTGAATGTACTTCAATATGTTAATGGCTATTTGTATTCATTGTGTAGTTAACTACCTGCTTATGCCCTTTGCACATTTTCTTGTGGGTGTTCATTTCTATAGATTTGCAAAAGTTCATATTAGGAATCAATCTTTTATTACACACATGGCAGACATTTTTCTGTCATTTTATTTTAAGCTTGCTTATAATATTGTTTTATGGCTTTATTTTTAATCACATCTCTTGACCTACTTTATAATTTCTGCCTTCAATATCATGTTTACATAGAATTTTCCCTGTACAAGATTATAAAAATACCATGTTTTCTTCTGATATTTTTATGATTTTTTTTATGTCAGTCTTTAATGCAAATGCAAATTATATCAATGTAAGAGGTGAGATAAAGATTCACCAATTTCTGCCAAGGTCATCTAGTTGTCTCATACCATTTATAAAATAATAATTCTTTTCTTTTCCTGATCTAAAATGTAATCACTAGATAATAAATTTTTAGTTTTTGCTATTTTTAAACCCTCTATTCAGTTTCATTTATGTTTTTGTCTATTCAACTACCATTACAAACTTAATTACTGTTGTTTTAAAATGATTTAAACTATTTGTTTTTTATATAACTAATATAGGTTTTACAACTTAATACATCAAGTGTTAACATCCCAAAACACCCTTAATGCTCATTTTGTTGAGAATTTTCTGTAGTCTTTTATAGATAAATTTTAGAATTATTTAAATTTTTTTCAAATAAAATTTCTACTGGCATTTTGATTGGAATTACATTGGCTTACATAGATTGGTATACAGAGAAATCATGTCACCTTTACAATATTGAATCTTCCTATCTAAGAAGAATATTGCCTGTCTTTATATTAGATGTATATGTCCCTCAGTAAAGTTTCAAAATTATTTTAATTTGCCTTTAATTCTACGTATCTTAATGTGTTTTAATGTTTTGTGGTGTTTATGAATGAGCTTTTTCCCATCTTGGAAAAAAAATGTTTTCTAATTGAATATTACAGATACAGAACCATAGCTGTCAAACCTTTGAGACATAGCTGTCTCANGAAGCCTACAATATTTCTTATCTTGTCATTTACAGAAAAAGTTTGCTGTTCCCTGAACCAAATTGTAAGCTTCATGAGAGTTTTCTTTATTAATCACTTGGGTACACCTGCATCTGGAACAGTTTTTGGCACATAACATGAATTCAATAAGAACTTTTTGAAGGGATAAATGTATTGATTACCTTTATATTTTTGTCCCAAGGAATATAACAGCACTTATTCAGTTGACATTTATAAAGAAGATAATGAAGAGTTTTTCAAAATTAATATGGAGTCTGAATTTCCTTATTTTTAAAATTACTCTGAGTGCCTATTAAATTTTAGAATTGGGAGAAGTTCACCTCTGGAGCATAAATAAAAATTGGCACCTATAGTGATGATCAAAGTAGTATAAGCTGAACATGAGCTATAAAAACATGATAACAGTATTTTCCCCACTTCTTTTTCCTTCTGTTTCTGTTGTTGTTGTTGTTATACACATAGCTTTTTCTAAGAGATTTTTCAGTGCTAGAATAGGTTGAGATTATTTTTTCTGATTGCCCTTTGTTCTAATACTGTTTGGAGCATACTAACTATATTGTCTTCAGTGTATTACACTTTAAGATGTTTTTATTTCATTAAAAAGGAAACAAACCTATTCTTTTTCTCATTGCATTAAGAAATTAAATGAGCAAGCTGCAGAACTGTTTGAATCTGGAGAGGATCGAGAAGTAAACAATGGTCTGTTTATTATGAATGAGTTTATTGTCCCGTTTTTGCCCTTGTTATTGGTGGATGAAATGGAAGAGAAAGATATACTCGCTGTGGAAGATATGAGAAATCGATGGTGTTCTTACCTTGGACAAGAAATGGAGTGTAAGTTTAAACAGTGTTAGTGCCCACCTGGGTTGTTGGGATTAAAAGCAGTTAGAATTAGGTGTTATTTATTCTATTCTTTCTACTCTGTAACATTCACATCATTACTTTTTTTATTTACAAACTAAGCTGTTCACACTAAGCCATTGCCATTTATATTTTACGTCTTCCCCCCAATTTGTAAGTACTTTATATATTTTGAAATGAAATATGACTGACCACTCCAAGTTAATAAATCATGTTGAAGAAGGTAATTTCTCTCCCTTCCTCTCTACCCTTAGTTACCTCTAATTGTTTGTATTTGCAGCACATCTCCAAGAGAAGCTGACAGATTTCCTGCCCAAACTGCTCGATTGTTCTACGGAGATTAAAGGTTTCCAGGAGCCGCCGAAGTTACCTGCGTATTCCACGCTGGAACTGTGTGAGCGCTTTACCCGAATCATGCTGTCCCTCAGCCGGACTCCTGCTGATGGAAGATGAACGGCACACACTTGCCCTAAACACACTGTATAAACTTGTTTTAGTTCTTAACCCTTGCCTTCCTGTCACAGGGTTTGCTTGTGCTGCTATAGTTTTTAACCTTTTTTATTTTAATAACTGCAGAAGAAAAAATAACTATACAGACTTTAGCCGGACTGCAAACAATAAAGCTGAGACTCGCATGGCACTCAGACTTTATTTTAACCAGAACTCATGTCTAATTACAAATCTGATTGACTTTACTATGGCAAAACCATGTTTTCGCCGCCTTTCTGTTACAGTGTCACTTTGCTTTTATCTTTACCTACAGCTTTCCATTCAGTCTGGACCCTTCCGTGACCACAGCCATTTAAGTGTTCGGCACTGNGCCGGCCCCTGTCAGACTTGTTTTTAAGGAAAACATAACACTTAAAAGCCATGAAAGGAATACTTATTGATGAGTCATTGTCAATCCTATGAGTAGTGAAGTAAAATCATATTTTTAGTAACCATACTTTTACAGTAGTATAAGTGAAGATAAAGAGAGAATCTACGAGGCTCCATAGTCTTATTATATCTTAAATAACAGTGTTGTTACTGGACTACTGGATGTTACTCTGAATTATTTGAAAATATATTTATAAGACTTTAAAAGTTGATAAAGCATGGAACATGTTGTGCACCTTAGTCAAAAATTGGAACCAAGTCACGGTTTCAGGGTTATTCTCAGAGAGGTGACTCATGTCTAGGAGGCCAGATATGAATGTCATTCAGAGAAGACCTTTTTAACAGGAAACTTAATAGCTATAAAAGAAAAGGTAGATGTGTGAGCAGACTCCTTCAACTTAATAGCATAAAACAATATTTAATATTATCACTTCCTTTTTTATTCATAAATAAAACAAAAAATCTTTAGCTGAGATAGTGTCCATATTATTTCAAAGTCAAGTTTAATAATACTGTTTTCTCAAAAAAAGATTTCTAGAAGAAGCCTTTTTCAATAAATATATAAAGTAACTTAAGACATAGTTTCAGTTGTGTAATTTGATTTGTCACAAATGTGTACATTAGTTTCCAAATAATTCTACATTTAATCATTGGAGTATAGAATTGATTTACATCTAAGCACATGAAATTAAATAATAAACAGTAACACCGATTGGCAGTGTACCCTAGAGTTTAAAGATAGTTTTTTATTACACCATTTCACTTTTTATTATTTTTCTGAATTAATCTATGGAAAAATATGTTATGATTGGACAAACAAACAATATAGGTACTTAAAATATTTTGTATATTTCAGTTATACAAATATATGGCTGCATGTGTTTTATCCTATGGCATATTAGGTGAAGGATAATTATAGAGACAATTATAACACTCTTAAACATTTTTCCTCTCCCTTTTTTAAAACTAGCTTGAACTTCATAATATCTTGATTTCATTGATTTAACATATAATATTACTTATATTAAATATAATACAATACAAAGGTCTGCCCTGTGAGCTTTTTATTTAGTATTTTCNGTTTCGTTCCTCATGAGGCTGGCCTCCTTGGATACAGACACACGGCCTTTTCACTTTGTCCTCACATGGCCTTTTCTCTGGGAATGCATGTATCTCTGGGGTAGCTTCCTCCTCTTATATGGATATCAGTCACACTGGATTAGGGCCCCACCCTGAGGACCTCATCTAATCTCTTTAAAGGCCCTATCTCCAAATACAGTCACATTGGGAGTAAGGACTTCAACACATGTAACGGGGTGGGGCGGGGGAGGCGGTCACAGTTCAGTCCATAGCACTGTGATGGCCCAGGATAACCAAAACATCCAAAACAGTTGAGGATTGTTAGCATGCCTTTAGCCCCAGCATCACAGTGCACATATCTACAGTTCTGTTCTTACATTTGCTTCATTGCTTTCTTTTCACTTAACCCTTAAAAACTGTATTAAAGTTTTAGCAAATCAAATTATAAATTGCTCACAATACATTCATTTAATCAGCGTGTTTTTATTGAACAAATCTCTGCAGAATGAATATAGCATTCCATGTTGACTTGTCCTTGTTCGTGTGTGGATTTCGTCAGTTTCACATCACATTAGACCATGCACCTGTTTCTATTTTCCTAGTGTTTTCGTTCTTACCTACTCCACATCTTTTTTACATTCCTCATCCCATCCCCAGCCTGAAGGTACAGCTGTTGACCATTGTGGCCACGTATTTCCCCATGTTTGGATAATGTTATATGGTCTATACACATAAGCTACGGTGGGTTTGGGGGGAGAGGGAGTGGATAGAGGAGGGGTCATTGCTTTTACAAAAAGGAAATAACCATCTATTTTACATATTCTTTCCCCCTCCTGTAGTTTCTAGCCTCCAGTCCTTTTTCTAATTAGCTGTGATAGAGTTGATGTACAGTAATCAAATAATAGTAAATAATACAACACTAATAAAAGTTAAGTGAGTCATGATTGACATCTATATACACGATTGATTACACACATGCACACACACCAGAATTTCAAATACGGTTATTCATTCCATACACAGCTCTCAGTGGCTATTTCAAACCTTCACTACGACCCTCATCCTCAGCTCCAGTAAAACCAAATGTTCTTCTTCTGCCTGATTGCCTGTGATCCTCCCCTTCAGCTTTACTCCCCGAGACCTGTAAGCTTAAGGTAATTATTAGTTAACCAGGATGTAATAAGGGGGTGGGCATTATTGATAATCCAATGTTAAGAGGAAAATAAATGTAGTATAAAGTGAATTTACANTTAACCTTTTCTTAGATTAACCTATTTTTTATGTATTTACAAATAATATAGCAAGTGATTTCAAGAGATACCAGAAAGAAATACTTGAATAAGGGCTATTTAATAGTGAAACTTATAAGAAATATATATATATATGTATATATACACATACACACACACGTACACACATAACACACGTATTCTTCATAATGGAGGACAGTATTTTGCATTATATAATCATTCTATTTTTGTAAATTGTATACCACTTTAATTGGAAATGTTCTCTACTAATCAGTGCTGTGAAATTAAGTTGATATTGTTGAACTAGAAGTTATGAGTATCTTACCTGCTTTTATTTACCTCCTTTTCAAAAAGGAAAAAGCTGTAGAACATTTTATTGGATGGAACTTCTGTTTAATGAAGTAATGTTGTGAATGAAAATCAATGCTTTAAAGGTAATCAATCATGTTACCAACAACCTATTTTTGAATTTATAAAAATTTCTTTATACAATACTTTGTTAGCATAGTAAAATATATCATTATACTACGTGTATGTTTGTTTTAGCGTCGCCAAAACTAGTGCTTTTTTAAAAAAAGTGCCTCTCCCAAAAGATCCTGGATAGAGAAGGAAAAAGAAAATATTAAGTTGTTACATGATGCCACACATAAAGGTATCTATCTACATACTGCTAATGTGTTAATTACAAGGAATTGGTACTATTTCTGTTGTAAAATTAGATTTGCATATTGCAGCTATCAAAATGTGTTTTGGTGTAGATTTTAAATTCTCTACTTGAGCAGAATTAATATTCTGCATTGGTTTTCAAACCCTGTCAAAAGTTTAGAAACTCCATATGTATTATCAATGCTTTTGTAAATTATCTTCATTACTTGATGATGTTCTACCATAACAGTAAAGTGGTTTTTGTTTATGTGTATAACTGACTGCTAAGATACAAAGTGCTTAAACTCCATATGGGAATTAACTCCTTTTACAAGCCACATCCAAGGGATCGTATGTGGCTCTTGTGCTGACAGTAAGTAGTAGTATTACATTTTCTTTGTAGTTAAGAGCCAGGTTACTCATTCCTAGTAATGCATATGAAGTACTTATTTACAGGAGTGACCTTTTTCAAGACCTAGGGAAACTACTTATTTTTATATAAGCTTTTAATCTAGTCTTAAGATTTGGGTCAGTAAAATTTCCTTAACATAATTACCGAGTTAAATATGTATAGCTAGTAATTT